ATCTTTTCATTTTTACTATTTTAACATTACCTTTTTCTGTATATTTATCTCGTGGAATTTCTTTTGATTATTTGTGTCGATAGGAGGCTGTCATGCTCATTATACTTGTTATAATACATAATATACCCTACATCTCCTTCAATATCGTCCTGAACATGCATTAAATATTTGCCACTGGACGAAAAGCAACCAACAACCAATCAATCAATCTCCTTTGATTATATTCTACAGTAATCAAAACCTTCTTTCTCTAAACTTTACAATTATTACTACAACGAAAAACATAAAATTTTAAAAACCGCGATTTTTGTTAAATCAAAACATCAACATATTTTTCTTTTATAATTTAAGTTTTTTTTGGCACACAAACGACCGCATTCATATGGTTCTTGAATAACATTTCCACGAGTTAAATTTTGTTAGCATAATTACAAATGGCCAGGAAAATCTTATCATTGCCATGGAGTCGTATATGTGTTCCGTGCAAACAATTATCTAGATCAGAGGACTAAAATGATTATTGTGATTGAAGGTCCGGGCTTCTTATTACTAATAAAAAGTTAGTTGGTCGTAGGTTACTCTGATGTTCAAACCGTACGAATGTTTTTTTTCGTATTTTTTTAATGAACCACAGAACTTCAGTTTTGTGCAAAGAAAAAATATATAACTTTTTTTCTGATTACTTGATGATATACCCTCTGAATATAATATTTTGAAAAAAAAGGTTTTGATGTTATTACATAGATCATATTAAAAAAAAAGAACAAATTCTTATAAACTTTTACGCAAACAGTTTTATTTCATGAAAGATAGTAATTCTGTACATCCCCATTGAGAGGCCCTGACATATTATAATTGCGTGAAATCTTTGAAGTCGACAGCCAGTGACACACACGATAACATTTAAATACCATGTGTTCACCAGCCAGTGACACACACGATAACATTTAAATACTATGTGTCCACCCGCCAGTGACACACACGATAACATTTAAATACCATGTGTCAGTGTCCACGCTGTTATAAAACTACATTCTAACTAGTTACATGGCATGATATAAATGTATTCGTCACCAACAATGTATGTCTGACGAGATCAAAACCTGTCGTTTCTAGGCACATTTTGTCCACTCTGTGTCTCGAATGACAATTGATGTCTACACTTTATGACATTTGCATGAAATCCGTATGTTCATACATTATTTTGAAATTGCCAAATATTAGGCAATCAACCGAAAAAAAACCCCAACACTAATCATTTTCTTTATAAACGCTGTAAGCCATTTATATTCATAATCATATTATGTGTACACATATAGCAGTAATACCATAATGAAAAAAAAATCGCTTCCTCTAGCAAGTCTACACCAACAAGTCAGAATACGTAACTTAAATTAGATAAATATTTCTATTTCACCCTTTAATATACATTAGATGTTGCTGGCTTCAGAATCAATAAAGCTCTGCAAACAAATAACATATGATAAGCAAGTTATATTTCCAAGTTTTCAGTCTTTTACATTATACATTTTTTGGCAAGTTAATTTAACACCCAAGGATTACAAAGCAACTAAGCAAGAAGGGAAAAACACCGGGAAATCTATACAAAACCAATGTAACAAACAAAAAAGACAATAGCTATAATAAAAGTACGTTGTGAATAAATTGATTCCAAAACTGTGCCTGTTTTGTATGAATGTAACTTTTTTGCACGTAAAAACCTTCGTAACACCTGAAAATTTTTCTGCTCTCTGGCTTCACTTGTAAAACCTTTGTTCATATCGTACTAGAAATGAAATCACTTGGTCCACTAAAATGTACGTTATCAATTATTGGTAAGAAACGTTCATATTTGTTTAACGTACGTTTAGTTACATCAGTTACGTTCTTATTTTTCCTTTGTCTGCATGTGAAGCAAAATAAACAGTTAATTACACTATCAACATTAATAATACTATCAAAATCTTTTTTTTTATATTCAATTTAGCAACTCCATTTAGGCTGGTAGGTGGAGCAAAACCATCGAAGGGCAGACTTGAAGTTTATTATTCCGGAAGTTTGGGGTCAGTTTGTGATGACAATTTTGACCTTAGAGATGCAACTTTTGTATGCAGAACGCTTGGATTCATGATGAGGAAAACTGCCGTCCACAAAACACTACACATTAACAACACAAAGCCCACCTATAACTTGGGTAGAATTCATTTTATTTCAGAAGGATAAGCTGTTTCTGCTCCACTAATAATATCCATCTTGTTGACAAGTAAAAATCTAGTTACCCGTCAAGCGAATCCAAAATCTGGTAAATTAAAATGTAAACCTGTAAAAACACGTGACTGGCGAATACTTATTCCTATACACTAGTTCTAGCGTAGTTAAGGCTTGTGACAAATATTTTTTGAAAATATGAGGTCTCATGCTGTCCTTGTATAAGTCACTGTCTCTATAATATACGATTCTCTTGTAAGAAGAAACCGTCAGTCAAATAAACTGTGACACAAAACGCACGCATTTGAGTATGATATATATATATATGTATATATAAATATATATAATTCGTCTAAATAACAGCCCAACAATGTTAGATCTGTAAATTTGCGTTAGCAAATTTTTTTATTCTTCCCTGGCCGGGATTCGAACTCATGGTACTGAGATTTCGTGCCACCAAATCGCCTTGCACTGTGCCCGACGCGCTAGACCACTCGACCACCTAGGCTCTACAATAATAAAGCTTTTCCTCGTCAGTTTTAATCTATCGTCGTAACGCAGTACATGATATATAAGGCATGAAGATGTAATTGTTACAGATCAGCTGAATTATCTATTGTAAAGGATCCTACAAATTAATATAAGATGCAGTCACAAAAATAATTATATTATAAGCACGTCTGAACCAGTGACGACTTAACAACAAATTTTATCCATCGGATCACCAGTGATGGTGATACAAGGCTGAAAACACATTCTGTATATGTAATTCGTCTAAATAACAGCCCAACAATATTAGATCTGTACATTGTTAGCAAATGTTTTTGTTCTTCCGTGGCCGAGATTCGAACTCATGCTACTGTGACACCAAATCGCTTTGCATTGTGCCCGACGTGCTAGACCACTCGACCACCTAGGCTCAAGAACAATGAAGCTTTCGGTAGCCGGGTGTTACCTTTCCTCGTCAGTTTTAATCTAGCGTCGTAACACAGTACATGATATGTAAGGCATGAAGATGTATTTGTTATAAATATATATATCTTTTCTAGAAGTGTATAGGAGGTAAGATATAATTATATATATATATATATATATATCTTTGGCAACATCTTACGGTGTTTATATATCTCAAAGCGAAGCTCGAGTCCAATATAGAATTTACTCACCCAGTATATATCGTATTAGGTTACAAGCATACTGTGTAACGAATTTATCGTACCGACTATCTTAACTTCTGAATTTAGACGTATATAACGAGTATATTAATATAAGGTCAATGGGCGTGTTTTATATATATACAAGTCTAAATTGAAAACAACCCTCAAACCTATGATTGCGTTGGATAAAAACCGCAATTTTTATACGTGTGCATGCAAAACAAATTTCTTGGTAGAGGAGTCTAAATACAGTACAAACAACATTTTCCAAAAGACCAAAAAAGTGAAAAAGTATATTTAAACAAAACGCATCAGACTAACAGGTCAAACAACGGATGTTCTAAAACCCTGCTGACTGCCATTGTCGATTGCCAAATAAACGGACCACAAGATGTAACAAAATGGATCTTTAATATTAATTTAATACCAAACAGAAAACAATAAACTTGCGGAAAAGATGGTATACCGCAAACATGAGGTGCAAATATTATATGTAATTATATCTTACCTCCTGTACACTTCTAGAAATATCATTGGTTAAAAGCGAACACGTTGGAACCGTGTATATTGACAGGTCAGTGGGCGTGTTTTATTTTTCGTGCACAGTCAGTGGGCGTGTTTTATTTTTCGTGCACAGTCAGTGGGCGCGGTTTATCTTAAATTCAGGGTTGGTAGTCGAGTTACGTTCCTTTAAAAACAACCGGTACTGTTCTCAATTTAACATACATAATTATAATTTTTTCATGCTTTTAGACAAAACAGTCTAACAGACGTTGACTTTCTCACTGTAAATAATTGAATGTGTTTAATATTGTGTTGAAATTATGATATCAAGGTTTACAACTACATCGTTGTACGTCTAAATTCCGAATGTTAAGATAGTCGGTAAGATAAATTCGTTACACAGTGTGCTTGTAACCCAATACGATATATACTGGTCAGTAAATTCCATATTGGGCTCGAGCTTCGCTTTGGGATATAAACACCTTAAGGTGGTGCCAAAGTTAACAATAGGGATCTAAGAATCGTCTCTTTAGTATCAAGTTTTGTGTAGAGTTTCAGGTGTAAAACTGAAATATCTTAATCTAGGAATGTAAGTTATTGCTGTTTAAATTTGATTTATTTAAAGTAAGTTCCTTCGGGTAAATTTTGGCAGTATATTTAGAATTTTTTTTATTATTTATCGGAACAAAATACATAAAGATAACGACAAGGGTTAGTGCATTTAGCAATGAAATGGAATTTAGACCGGTCTTTACAGAGTTTGGCCATAAATTGTGACTCATAGCAGTAAAGGAAAACGTCGGCTAATAAAGGGGCACAATTGGTGCTAAGGGGGAAAACCTACAACCTGTCTATAAAACTTATTGCAGAAACGTACATAATTGTTGTCAATGAAAAAATTACAGCTTTAATCGTCTCATTATTATGTATGATTCCTGAGCTTCGATAGGTACACATAGATGTAGCCTGCTAAATTGTCAACCAGCTCCACTATATCCCTGAATCATTAATATGCAAGAAAATAAAACATTGTCACTTACAATCTTAATACTAAATATATCTGTTTCATTCACTAGTCATCCGGTAGTATATCCCGGAGGTCATTTCGGTCACAGCTGCTTATCGAGAAAAATGGCCGATCTTACCTGCACTGGAGCAGAAAAAGACGTATCTGTTTGCCAATCTATAGGCTGGGGAAGTCATAACTGTGGACAGAGGGACGACGTTGGTGTTGAATGCCGTAAGTCATGAATTGATAATCAACACTCTACTTTAAGCTAAAAATTCTTTGGTTATTATTTGTAAAAAGAAAAATCTGCTTAACTCTGGCATCACAACGCCTAAGTAAGTACGTGTAAAAAATCCAAAAACAACCCAAAGCTATATTATGATGGCCCCCAACCCACCCCACCCCACCCCACCCCAAATAACTGTGCAGTAATTTGCTTTAAAAAATTGATTAGCTTGATTTCTTTCTTTGCGTTTAGTCACACTTCTTATTATATAATAATACAGGAGATGTGTGAGACACGTGAATGCAACACACACAATACGCGATAAGTCCCTCGTAAGAATAAACAAAGAAAGTACTATGTGCTAATCATGTCACCCTACTGTATATCCCTGTAGACATTTTGTTGACAGCAGCAAGATATATGTTGTACGTTATGGTGGAAAAAACTCGTCCATTTCTGAACTTGTTTTATTTCCGATATTTCTTTCAGATCCTTCTTGTCTGTATCAAGTCATGATATCTGGACGAATTATTATATCTCGATGTTTTTCCTTTCTGACTTGTATGTCTATTATTCGGAATAGTCGAGTGTTGGAGGATGGGGGAGTCTGTTGTACTGTCCGATATTTTTGTTCAGAAATTATTGCGATGTTTTTATTATTGCAAAAAATGCGACAGGGTTACAATCGCAATAATTTGTTTTTTACGTATTGTATAACTTTTATTCTAGGTTGTATCTATTACAATTATCCCAGAAACAAGTATCATATTTTTGTTATGGTCTATTTGTACATAAGAATAGTGTAATCGCAAAGCCGTTATTGTAAACTTTAATGTTATACTTGTCATGCCTGTCACTCGGCATATTTGTTTGATTCAGGGTTAAATATGCTCTTGTACTGAATATGTATGGAATATTTGCCACTTTACGTTACGTGAATTTCATGTAGTACGAAAAAATTGACAGTGCAACAGACAACACCAACCGCCTAACAACTTTGGAGAAAAAACCGTACAAAACAAGGACCAACAACAATTAAGATTTGGATCAAGAAATCAAAAATCTTAATTCTATCAATTAATCTTAACTGAATCGGTAAGTATATCACACGTGTAATCCTAGCTATTTAAAAATGTAAAAATAATGACAATGATAAAGAAACCAAAAAAAAAAAAAACATTCTGGAAAGGTGGTCAGAATTGTGGATTAGACAAATGGAGCACAACCAGGGCCATTTATGATACATATATTTCACAAAGTTCAACCTAATCATTTAAATAATAATGGGAAACGCACGCCTTAGCATATTAAGTCAACTGTCAAATATATACCCAGGCCCTGCAGGAATGGTACATGTACTACACATAATTGGAAAGTCTACAATTGAAAAACAATATTTTCTATTGATACTTGTTTATGTTAAAGAGACAAATCTCCGCTATGTGAATGGTCCGAGTGCTTCTAGAGAAAGAGTGGAAACCATGTACCGTGGAGAGTGGTTAACAATATTTGTGATGGCAGTTTCGATCAGAAAGAATCCACCGTAGTCTGTACAATGTTCGGATACCATAACTCGTAAGATTTTAACAATTTGAACTTTAAATTGTTCTGGTTCTGAAACATCATTATTTATGTTAAATAATCATATTTCATACTCCTTCTTCAGTATAGATGAACACAATAAACTTTTAACCGAAAACAAACAGTCCGGTATCAAAATAGAAATGTAGTTTTTAAGCAGACAAACAACTCAATTTACTCCTGTAGGCCTTTGATTATTTCTTCTATGATTTATTCAAGAAGAACTGAAATCTACAATGCCAACCAATAAGCTTTTGATTAAAGATTAATTACCCTTGTGTCAATTAAGGAGGAATTATGCTTATTCATACATATATGTTTAAAACGAAAAAGGTAATTAAAGAGGGACGGAAGATACCAGAGGGACAGTCAAACTCATAGATCGAAAACAAACTGACAACGCCATAGCCAAAAATAAAAAGACAAACAGACAAATAATAGTACAGATGACACAACATAGAAAACTAAAGACTAAGCAACACGAACCCCACCAAAAACTGGGGGTGATCTCAGGTGCTCCGGAAGGGTGAGCAGATCCTGCTCCACATGTGGCATCCGTCGTGTTGCTTATGTTATTACAAATCCGGTAAGTAGTCTAATTCGGTAGGTCACATTCGTGAAAAGCGAAGGGTATTGTAGTTACGACATAAGGAACATATCCGATATCATTTGTGAAACGGTTATTCCATAACGGTCAACCAACTCGTGATGGCGTCCGTAAAATTTACGAAGGGATGATTTCAACTTCACCATTTGGAACTCTTGGTTTAAAAGTTTCCTTGTGAGCAGTAATCCTCTATCAAGGAAATCATGATAGGAAATATAAACCCGGGAATATCTTATCAATTGGGAGATATATACTCCGTATGCAGGCGCTGTTGGAATGTTACTACATAGAAATGGAAAAATCACAATTGGGAAGCTGAAATCATCTCTTTTGTCGTAAAGTTTTGTTTTCAACCGACCCTCATTGTCAATTTCTAGATGTAAGTCAAGATATGAGGCAGACTTAACTGTATATGTAGTATCCTTTATCTGTAGTTCGATGGGATAGATTCGTTCAACATAGTCACCAAAGTTTGTTTTATTTAGTGAGAGAACATCATCTATATAGCGGATTGTAAAGTTAAAGGATATTGCTAACTTCTTATCTTTCTTCCTAAAAAGTTCCTGTATGAAGTCAGCCTCATAATAATAAAGAAACAAGTCGGCAAGAAGAGGGGCACAATTGGTTCCCATTGGAATTCCGACAGTCTGTTGAAAAATACGTCCTCCAAACGTAACAAATATGTTGACAATCAAGAAATCAAGCATCTTGATAATGTCAGTTTCAGAGAATTTTTTGTTTGAATCAGAGTTATTCTTTACAAAGTAGGATTTATCCCTCCTCAAGACAAGATACTTGTATGTACGTTCGCCATTCGTTTTAATGAAACTTAGAAATACCAACTCTTTCAATTTGTCTTTTAGTTTGGAATGGGGAATACTTGTGTAAAGTGTAGAAAAGTCAAATGTTTTAATACTATTGATAGAGTCTTAGATTTTATGTACTCTAAAAGATCCACATCTAATTCACGCCACCTCTAGAATAGGCAGTTTCACAATAACTTTGGAGCCCGGCTTTGATTGCTGATAAAATAGAGGTTAATAATTTAGAAAGAGGTTTCGTGGAGCAATTGGAAGACCCAGCAATATACCGTTGTTTGTAAGGACACTTATGTAGTTTAGGTATCCAATAAAGTGATGGAAGATTCAGTTCTTCATCTTTGGTTGAAATTCCGAAGGAACATAGAACAGACCTATGATTTTCCAGGATTTCCTCTTTGGTAAGTGTCGTGAGGGTATATGTTGAGTTTTCAAATTAATTGTCAATACCTAATTCATTTATCAAGCAGTTTATGTAATGATATTTACACACAAAAACGATGTTGTTTGGGGCTTTATCTGCGGGGACAACAACATATTTGTCACGAAGGTAGGACAAGTGTTTTGCAACATTTGGGTCTTTAAAAATTGACGTAGCGTGGGTATTTATAGACCCATTTAGTTTCATAATTCGGATTTGTATCAACGCCCTCACAGCCTTAATCCATTCGGAAAGAGTATCTACGTCTTCTTTCTCGCGTTTAGCCAATTGCCTGGCATAATCCTCGATTGAATCCATCAGTATTTTGAATTGTATTTCCAATTGATGGATTTAGGCTCACGATATTTAGGACCTTTGGATAACAAATTTCGAAGGGAAGAGTTATTGACAATGTTGAGGTCTCCGGTAATAACGTGGCCAGCCGGATTATATGTGAATTGGGAACTAGCATAGGTGCAATCAGGAGGTTTAGACTTGAAGTCGTCAGTGTTGAGATCCTGCAAAACGTGTTTGTAATTGAAAATTTTAGTTGCAATTGGTTTGGTATAGGTATAAGAAATTATTGGTACAGACTGATCTTTAAAATAAGGAGGTATTTTCGACTGAACTAATTTATGATGAAGGATATTGCCTAAGTTGACGCCATCGAGACCTTTGTTGGCAAAGGAAAGTTTAAGAAAAGATCTTTTCTCTTTTTCATCTTTTCCAATGCGAACTGGTTTGAAAAGTCTGTGACTATAGCAATATCCGAAATGATAGATGTAAGTTTGTATTGGTTTGAATGAGGGTTTGTAACAGTGGTTTCCAAACATAAATTGAACAGAGAATGAAGTTTTGAAAGGGGTAATGAATAAAGTTTCGTGCTAATGTGATGAATACCTAAAGGCTGTTGTATAAATGGTAGCAAGTCATTAATAGAGACATCATGCAAAGTAGGTGATGTATAATGACGATGACCATGACTGCATCTACGTCGAGGAGTAGAGTTGAAAATATTCATCACATTCACCGAGCTACAGGAAGGACTATACCATCAATTTTGTCATTGCAACCATATGGTGTCGCAGTTCCCAATTGTCGAATCCAGTAGTCCTCTTTTTGTCTACGGAGAGGCGTTGCAAGTTGAGGATTGTTAGTCTTGTGGTATATTTTTTCGATAATACGAACTGTCATAGAAACGATGGAATGATCAGGCTGATTAAAATGCTGGTATAGAATGTCGTTTGCATTGAGGTTGATATTTGATCTATGGCCGCATATACGTTTGTTTAGCCTTCCTTTCGTTTCACCGACGTAAACCAATCCACAAAGGTTACACTCTAATCCGTAATCCGTAGAGATAATAAAATATGCGCCATTATTAGTACGGTGACAATTAAGGTAAATCTAAAAATTTAATGGATCGAAATTCCTCATGGTTAATTTTTGTCTTATTTTGAAGATAAATATAATACCCTTTGATTAAGACATGCCGAAGAGTGCCAGAGTGGTGCAGATTTTTGATAACTGTGGTCAAAGGTCAAAAGGGGGATTTTAAAAATTCGCATTTTTTTGACA